CTAATAAAACCCCAGAGTCTGTCATCTTGTCATTAAAGATTAAAGAGATTGAGTGTATGCCAAAAAATATTGTAATTAAATATTTTTTTCTGAAACTAGTTGCTAAATGGCTGTTTTTACTGTATATATTCAGTAAGTATGTCCGGTTTGCGACATTGTGGGCTATCAAACTAGGTTTGGAGACTCTCAGGAAATAGGCCATATTGGTGTCTCAAGAGAGATGACTCAGATTATGCTTTTCCACAAAAAATGTGAGAAAATATTTCTCAGATGTTAATTTGTGTTCTTTTTCTCAAATTTTACCACTTGATGAAAACGTGATTAGGTCAACACTTTAAAGACAATAAAAAATAATCAGTTGAAATGGTTAACAGGTTTTTTAGACACTTTTCCTAGACATTTCCATTTTTAAAGTGTCTTTTAAGGAGGTTTTACAAAATAATGTGATGTATACTGAATAATTATTTTGTTTGATGTTTAGAGGTAAAGTTTCTGTTGGCTGTATGTGGCCCCAAGTATTATTTACCGTTGTGATTTTCAAAATCTTATTATATTAAATAAATTTATGGCTCTTTGAAGTCACCTTCAAATATGACTGTTTATGGAAAAACTCAACTAGTTTCTCCAATCACAACTGTATTCATGTCATCTCACTGTCACAAGTAATATGTAATAATGTAACATTGTTAGAACATGGCAAGAATGTAGAACTTATGTCACTGGTTCTTGAGTGGTGTTTGATTCTTATCATGGTATATGACAGTTACTGTACAGGTGGCCTGGGATATAAATAGGTGCAGGCATACGTGGTATATGACAGTTACTGTACAGGTGTGCTGGGATTTAAATAGGTGCAGGCATACATGGTATATGACAGTTACTGTACAGGTGGGTTTGGATTTAAATAGGTGCAGGCATACATGGTATATGAAAGTTACTGTACAGGTGGGCTGGGATATAAATAGGTGCAGGAATACATGGTATATGACAGTTACTGTACAGGTGGCCTGGGATATAAATAGGTGCAGGCATACATGGTATATGACAGTTACTGTACAGATGGACTGGGATTTAAATAGGTGCAGGCATACATGGTATATGACAGTTATTATACAGGTGTGCTTGGATTTAAATAGGTGCAGGCATACATGGTATATGACAGTTATTATACAGGTGTGCTGGGATTTAAATAGGTGCAGGCATACATGGTATATGACAGTTACTGTACAGGTGGACTGGGATTTAAATAGGTGCAGGCATACATGGTATATGACAGTTACTGTACAGATGGAATGGGATTTAAATAGGTGCAGGCATACTTGGTACATGACAGATACTGTACAGGTGGGCTGGGATATAAATAGGTGCAGGCATACATGGTATATGGCAGTTACTGTACAGGTGGGCTGGGGTATAAATCGGTGCAGGAATACATGGTATATGATAGTTACTGTACAGGTGGGCTGGAGTATAAATAGGTGCAGGCATACATGGTATATGACAGTTACTGTACAGATGGACTGGGATATAAATAGGTGCAGGCATACATGGTATATGACAGTTACTGTACAGGTGGGCTGGGGTATAAATAGGTGCAGGCATACATGGTATATGACAGTTACTGTACAGGTGGGCTGGGATATAAATAGGTGCAGGCATACATGGTATATGACAGTTACTGTACAGGTGGGCTGGGATATAAATAGGTGCAGGCATACATGGTATATGGCAGTTACTGTACAGGTGGGCTGGGGTATAAATAGGTGCAGGCATACATGGTATATGACAGTTACTGTACAGGTGGGCTGGGATATAAATAGGTGCAGGCAACATGGTATATGACAGTTACTGTACAGGTGGGCTGGGATATAAATAGGTGCAGGCATACATGGTATATGACAGTTACTGTACAGATGGACTGGGATTTAAATAGGTGCAGGCATACATGGTACATGACAGATACTGTACAGGTGGGCTGGGATTTAAATCGGTGCAGGAATACACAGTATAAGAGAGATTTAGATTGAATTGAATGACAGCTATGGGACTGAGCCAAACGTAGGTACTTGTCTGGTTCCACTTCTCCGATAAGGGTGTTTCCAACTTTTTTTATCACTGACATATATTCAAACACCATTTACTAAAGAGATAATCCTATTAATGAGTAGTTTGCACTGTAGGTAATGATGAGGGCTGATGTCCGTTACCAATCAGTGTCACTGTGGTACATGTATTGTCTCCCGAATGGTTAGATAAGCTCTTCAGTTGCTATGCGCTGACGTCCACAAATGGAATGTCTGCATTATAATTCCTTCCAAGTTAAACTGTTAATTTGCCTATATAAAATTACTCTGCAGCAAGGAAATGTTCTTCATCACAAGATTCAAGATATTCTTGTTTCAGATGATGATAAATACAGAAAGACTTGGTACCAAACAAAATTATCTACTTATCCATTTTTTCTTGTGGCTTCTATTCTTAGAAAGTTTGCCTGTTGGTTGGTTGGTTTGTTGTTGAACGCCGCACTCAGCAATATTCCAGCTATATGACGGCGGTCTGTACATAATCGAGTCTGGACCAGACAATCCAGTGATTAATGTCATGAGCATCGATCCACGCAATTGGGATCAATGACATGCATCAACCAAGTCAGTGAGTCTGACCACCTGATCCCATTATTCACCTTCTTAGGACATGCATAGTTGCCTTTGACGGCAAGCATGGTTTGCCTGTAGTCACAGACATACACTGTATATGACAGAGTTGCTGTGCAGTAAGGAGTTCGAGCATGTTCATTGTTTAAGGTATTCCGTATTTGCATCAAGGTGGATTGTAATTGGCGATCCTGGAGTGGAGTATAAGTGCTTTATTCCCATACATTCTGTACTAACTATACTTCTCAAAAGAAGTTAAAGAACACCCGATTCTTTCATGTTACTATTGTTAATCTGTTACTTCACTTCTTAACTTTTTTTGAGTAGTATGAAGCCTTTTCTCTTAAAAGAAAAGATATTAAAGTTAAATCTCATCAAAATTGGGTGTGTTCACATATTTGGTAGAAAAAGGGAGATAACATTTGTTGTTTAGATATCTAACTGCTTCAAATTAGCAAAGTAATTATATTAACTGCAAAGTGTAATGTACTATATGTTAATAGTTGATGTGTGGACCTCGTCGTAAGCATCACTGAAATTGATCCTGCTCTTTTTCTGCAATTCAACATATTCCAATCTTATTTCACCACTGAAAAAAGCTGTTCTGATTTAATGAAAAACACGTCTGATGTGTAGAATCAGCAGATGTTGTTAGCGCATAGCGGTGGAATTATACCATTTAATTCATCATAGACAAAAACGGCTGATATTTATGGAGCTAAAATGAAGATACCCCGTGGAAATAACTTGTTAATAATTATGTTTTAATTTCAGGATGTCCTTCCCCCATGTTGTCAAGTTTCCGGAACTGTAGCGGATCCCTCGTGTCGCTAATCCAGCATTGAGAGTACATTTCCTGTCCAAGCGTTATTACCAGGCAAGTCCGTAAAATGTGGAAACTTTTAACAGAAAATATAAAAAAAACTTTAATCACTTTTTGGATGTTTTAATTGGAGACTTCAGTTTAAGAGCATGCCACACATGCAAGCATTCCCAGTTTTTAGATTTTTTTACAATGAGGAGCATACAATGTCAGAATTAAATTGCACAAATTAATGAAATATGCAACATGGAAATCGTCAACTTCTTATTATGACAAATTAGGATTGACCAATTATTGTTTTGTTTTGACAATAATGTAGCCCTTTTGTGAACAACATTTAATGCCTAAAAGGTCACAGTGTCATGTGAACTTGAAGTAAATAAATCCTTTTTTAACAATCTTGAAAAAAACCTGTTTGATATAAAAGAAAATCATCTTTCATATTTAGAACGCAAAGAGATTCAGAAGAATATCAAACATGACACGCTCGAATGCTAGTTTATCTGTACATGAAAGAAAAAAAATCTTCATGAAACATTTCCTGTATAAATGATGAGGAAATGTAATTTCCTTAACACTTTGTCAGCCAAATCAGCATGGAGAACTCAAATATGATTTATATATTAATTCAAAATTAGCATCACATTTCAATTTAGTTGTTTTTTCCATGTGTTACCGTTTGTTGCCATATGGCACTAATATCGGTACCATCAACTCCAAGACGTCGCATGTATGTGTGCATTTTGCCAGCCCAGCGCTACTCTCAGTCTGGCAGCCTGCATTGACGACAACTGCCAGTCTTGTCAAAACAGATTCCGCTACAATTTTTAATTTAGCCTAATACAGAAATATGGACTTAAACCTATTTTATTGCAAAACATAATGGGTTTTTGACATTACTTCTTGGAGTTAAATGGGTCTGTAACCATTAGAGGGGCACAGGTGGCCCAGTCGTCTAAGGCACTGGAATTCTGCATGAGAGTTGTGTCCCTTGGGCATACCAGAAACCTGTAATCATTGGTTCGAATCCGGGTTAGCCCCTCTTATGTTTCTAGGTTTGTCAGCACCATACCCTGTGCTCGTGGGTGTCACCGAAGTGGTAAACGTCTAAGAACTGCATTAATTCAGGCTTTCATCCCACATTAAGCTGACATGCCATGATATAACTGGAATATTGTTCAAAGTGGCGTTTAGCCGAACTCACTTACCCACTCTCTCTAACTATTAGATCAGCTATCTCAAGTGTATGAAACTGAAAAATAAAAGATTTGCAATGAATGTGAAGAAAGTAGATCCAAGTTATGCCAGATGAACACATATGATAGGTTCATATCTGCAAAAATTTGCACTGGAAGGGATATTTTATTTATGGTCTGTTTCATGTTTGCAAGTTCAAAAAATATTTTCTTGTCTACACAAAGATATAGTGACTTGAGAGTAAGTTAAAGTTGCTACTACTTGCTGTATCCATGTATGGCATACATAAGTTACATCACATTTATGTGCATATTGATTGTGAAGAACTACGTGACATGCTGGCTGTTTCCTGGCTGGCTCTTGGCTGGTTCCTGGCTGTTTCCTGGCTGGCTCTTGGTTGGCTCCTGGCTTGTTCCTGGCATTTCCTGGCTGGCTCTTGGCTGGTTCCTGGCTGGTTCCTGGTTGGCTCCTGGCTTGTTCCTGGCATTTCCTGGCTGGCTCTTGGCTTGTTCCTGGCATTTCCTGGCTGGCTCTTGGCTGGTTCCTGGCTGGCTCTTGGCTGGTTCCTGGCTGGTTCCTGGCTGGCTCTTGGTTGGCTCCTGGCTTGTTCCTGGCATTTCCTGGCTGGCTTGTTCCTGGCATTTCTGGCTGGCTCTTGGCTGGTTCCTGGCTGGTTCCTGGTTGGCCCCTGGCTTGTTCCTGGCATTTCCTGGCTGGCTCTTGGCTTGTTCCTGGCATTTCCTGGCTGGCTCTTGGCTGGTTCCTGGCTGGCTCTTGGCTGGTTCCTGGCTGGCTCTTGGTTGGTTCCTGGCTGGTTCCTGGTTGGCTCCTGGCTTGTTCCTGGCATTTCCTGGCTGGCTCTTGGCTTGTTCCTGGCATTTCCTGGCTGGCTCTTGGCTGGTTCCTGACTGTTCCTGGCTGGCTCTTGGCTGGTTCCTGGTTGGCTCCTGGCTTGTTCCTGACTGTTCCTGGTTGGCTCGTGGCTTGTTCCTGACTGTTCCTGATTGGCTCTTGGCTGGTTTGTGGCTGGTTCCTGGTTGGATCATGGCTGGTTCCTGACTGTTCCTGGTTGGGTCGTGGCTTGTTCCTGACTTTTCCTGGTTGGATTCTGGCTGGTTCCTGACTGTTCCTGTTTGGGTCGTGGCTTGTTCCTGGCATTTCCTGGTTGGGTCGTGGCTGGTTCCTGACTGTTACTGGTTGGGTCGTGGCTGGTTCCAGACTGTTCCTGGTTGGGTCATGGCTTTTCTTGACTGTTCCTGGTTGGGTGGTGGCTGGTTCCTGACTGTTTCTGGTTGGGTCATGGCTGGTTCCTGACATTTCCTGGTTGGGTCATGGCTTTTCTTGACTGTTCCTGGTTTTGTGGTGGCTGGTTCCTGTCTGTTCCTGGTTTTGTGGTGGCTGGTTCCTGACATTTCCTGGTTGGGTCATGGCTTGTTCTTGACTGTTCCAGGTTGGCTCCTGGCTTGTTCCTGACTGTTCCTGGTTGGGTCGTGGCTGGTTCCTGGCAGTTCCTTGGTGGGTCATGGCTTTTCTTGACTGTTCCTGGTTGAATCGTGGCTGGTTCCTGACTGTTCCTGGTTGGGTCGTGGCTGGTTCCTGACTGTTCCAGGTTGGGTCGTGGCTGGATCCTGACTGTTCCTGGTTGGGTCGTAGCTGGTTCCTGACTGTTCCTGGTTGGGTCGTGGCTGGTTCCTGGCTGTTCCTGGTTGGGTCATGGCTTGTTCTTGGCTGTTCCTGGTTGGATTGTGGCTTGTTCCTGACTGTTCCTGGATGGATATTGGTTTGTTATTATTGCTGTTTCTGATTGGATCGTGGCTGTCTCCTTGTTATTCATGGTTGTTTTCTGGTTGGGTCATTGCTGGTTCCTGACTGTTCCTGGTTGTTTCCTGGCTAGATGGCATATACAATCTTTGTCCATGTATTCTGTTGAATGTCTTACCAGCTGACACCTGTTTGGTTGACATTTGTTAAGTACATTTTGCTTTTGTGAATTAGACATGAGATAATGATAAAACCTTCCGATAATCAGTATTTGTTTAAAGACTTCTGTGTCAGCGGAAATGGGCTAGCCCAGTGAAACCAGTCGCTGTGAAACCAGGTTAAAATCTCTCACTCACTCAACAGTTGTGTTTCAATTATTCTGTACAGTATACAGAATGGCTGACAATGATGGACCTGTTCCATGCTTGTCTTGTCAATAATTATCTCGTGTTTATTTTTCCCTGACATTTTGCACTCTGTGGTACCAGGTAACTTTCAACAAACATTAAGACAAGTTTTATTAGCTGTTGAAAAGGTTACTCCATAGCATTCGTGTTTAGAGTCCTGGAGTTGTCTGCCCTTGTGTTAAGTCAATATCCAGCCAGTAATAATGTAAAATAAACACACACACAAATGAAGAAAATGGCAACAATGACTGCAATAAATCATAAGATGTGTCTGTTAGTTTGTTTGTACTACTGACAGGATACATGGGACTGCTGTGCTGGAGGTGTCTCAGGTAGCCTTCATCATGCAGCCACCAAGTTCCTGGTATCACCCAGGTGTTAAAGTTGTACAGTGTTCCTGATGACTCTGTAGTAGAGTCTGGGAAATTGGAGACTTTCTCTCTACAGACTTGACAGAATTAGTGACAGAACTGGAGACTATTTCACTAAATCTATAGATTGACTTGACAGAATTAGAGACAGAACTGGAGACTATTTCACTAAATCTATAGATTGACTTGACAGAATTAGTGACAGAACTGGAGACTATTTCACTGAATCTATAGATCGACTTGACAGAATTAGTGACAGAACTGGAGACTATTTCAATGAATCTGTGGACTGACTTGACAGAATTAGAGACAGAACTGGAGACTATTTCACTAAATCTATAGATTGGATTGACAGAATTAGTGACAGAACTGGAGACTATTTCACTAAATCTATAGATTGACTTGACAGAATAAGAGACAGAACTGGAGACTATTTTACTGAATCTATAGATTGACTTGACAAAATTAGAGACAGAACTGGAGACTATTTCACTAAATCTATAGATTGACTTGACAGAATTAGAGACAGAACTGGAGACTATTTCACTAAATCTATAGATTGGATTGACAGAATTAGTGACAGAACTGGAGACTATTTCACTAAATCTATAGATTGACTTGACAGAATAAGAGACAGAACTGGAGACTATTTTACTGAATCTATAGATTGACTTGACAGAATTAGAGACAGAACTGGAGACTATTTCACTAAATCTATAGATTGACTTGACAGAATTAGAGACAGAACTTAAGACTATTCCTCTGAATCTATAGATTGGCTTGACAGAATTAGTGACCGAACTGGAGACTATTCCACTGAATCTATAGATTGGCTTGACAGAATTAGTGACAGAACTGGAGACTATTCCACTGAATCTATAGATTGGCTTGACAGAATTAGTGACAGAACTGGAGACTATTCCACTGAATCTATGGATCGACTTGACAGAATTAGTGACAGAACTGGAGACTATTTCACTGAATCTATAGATTGACTTGACAGAATTAGAGACAGAACTGGGGACTATTTCAATGAATCTATAGATTGACTTGACAAAATTAGCTACAGAACTGGAGACTATTTCACTGAATCTGTAGATCAACTTGACAAAATTAGCAACAGAACTGGAGACTATTTCACTGAATCTACAGATTGACTTGACAGAATTAGCGACAGAACTGGAGACTATTTCACTGAGTCTACAGATCGACTTGACAGACTCAGCAACTGCACATATTGTTCATGAAACTAGATGAGGAAATGCTGTGGGCAGAGGAGCCTGCTATCCACAGCAAACTGGGTACAGCCCAACACAAGCTTAATTCAGACCCCCTGCAGTGGCAATTAGTTGGCTTGATAAGCTAATTGAACATATGAAGCCAGGTGATGCAGTGGATCATGGGGTATCATCTTGCTGACAGAAATGTGTGAACCCAGTTATACATCACATTAATTCTGACCATCTTGGTAACAATGAGTGAACCAATTGGTAACTCACATTAAATGACCTCATGCAGATAATTAGTAAACCAATTGGCAGAGCAAATCAAATGTTAACTTGTTAACACTGCTTGAACCAAATTGTACATGGACCGAATTGTATGTCAAATCTTAATGTCATCCTGCTCACAAAGCATGATCCAGATGTACAATGTCATGTTGCTGACAGTCCATAAACCGCATTGTACAGAAACCATATGACTACTTGCTACCTATGCTTGAACCAAATTGAACAGAATACCATATGACCTCTTGCTAACTGAATTGAACCGATAACCAACAAGGCACGAACCTAATTGGTAAGTCAAACCAATGACCTCATGCTAACAAGGCCAAAACCCAATGGTCAGTCAAACCAAATGACCTCATGCTAACAAGACATGAAGTGAATGGTACATCAAACCAAATGACCTCTTGCTAACAAGACATGAACCCAGTGGTAAGTCAAACCAATGACCTCATGCTAACAAGGCCAAAACCCAACAGTCAGTCAAACCAAATGACCTCATGCTAACAAGACATGAAGTGAATGGTACATCAAACCAAATGACCTCTTGCTAACAAGGCATGAACCCAGTGGTAAGTCAAACCAAATGACCTCATGCTAACAAGACATGAAGTGAATGGTACATCAAACCAAATGACCTCTTGCTAACAAGACATGAACCCAGTGGTAAGTCAAACCAATGACCTCATGCTAACAAGGCCAAAACCCAACAGTCAGTCAAACCAAATGACCTCATGCTAACAAGACATGAAGTGAATGGTACATCAAACCAAATGACCTCATGCTAACAAGGCATGAACCCATGGTACATCAACCAAATGACCTCTTGCTAACGAAACATGAAGTGACTGGTACAACAAACCAAATGACCTCTTGCTAACGAAACATGAAGTGACTGGTACATCAAACCAAATGACCTCTTGCTAACAGGGCATGAACCCATGGTACATCAACCAAATGACCTCTTGCTAACGAAACATGAAGTGACTGGTACAACAAACCAAATGACCTCTTGCTAACGAAACATGAAGTGACTGGTACATCAAACCAAATGACCTCTTGCTAACGAAACATGAAGTGACTGGTACATCAACCAAATGACCTCTTGCTAACAGGGCATGAACCCAATGGTACATCAAACCAAATGACCTCTTGCTAACGAAACATGAAGTGACTGGTACAACAAACCAAATGACCTCTTGCTAACGAAACATGAAGTGACTGGTACATCAAACCAAATGACCTCTTGCTAACGAAACATGAAGTGACTGGTACATCAACCAAATGACCTCTTGCTAACAGGGCATGAACCCAATGGTACATCAACCAAATGACCTCTTGCTAACGAAACATGAAGTGACTGGTACATCAACCAAATGACCTCTTGCTAACAGGGCATGAACCCAATGGTACATCAAACCAAATGACCTCTTGCTAACAAGGCATGAACCCAATGGTACATCAAACCAATGACCTCATGCTAACAGGGCATGAACCCAATGGTACATCAAACCAAATGACCTCTTGCTAACAGTTAATCTAGCGGTGATGGCTGGATATATAGAGTAGATGTAGCAGTATGGAGAGTTGTCAGTTGTAAATATGCCTGCAGGTCAACACTTTCCAAGACACCTGTTGTCTAGACAACGACAAGCTTTCCCTGATGGCAGAACACCTCACAACACTAAGCAGATAGAGATCTCTTGATTAACTTGTCTCAAAGAACTTTAGTCAGTAAATACTTTTTCAGACTCTTTTTGAAGTCTAAGACTTGTGTTAGGTCATGTCATGTGGGCTGTAAAGATCTGCGTATCGGTCAATTATGTAAAGATTATTTGGTTATTTCTGTATTGTCTGATAAGTAGGCGTATCTATTTTTGCTTTGTGCTTTTGTATCCGTTTCTTTGAGCATGTATTTCACTTTTCTATGTGCCAAGAGACTGCTTTATGCTTATGCTAGTTTATTTATGTTTTGGTTGTTTAAGTTTTATCTTAACAGTGGCTATGATACATTTGTGCTGGTTCACTGTTTATAAACGTCAGTTATTTGGGGATACCTGGTGATTTGAGGGGCACTATTTCAAGGACTTGTTGAGTAGCTCTTCATTACATGTTGGGGAAGGTGTGGGGGTGGAAATTTGTCTACTTGATAATTTTTGTAAACAATACCACTTTTATCATGTTGTTAATTGGCTGTAGTAGACTTGTGTCTGAAATGACAGGCATGAATCATTCTGCGTAATCAATCATAGAT